GGGGGAGAGAGAGAGAGAGAGAAAGAAAGAAAGAAAGAAAGAAAGAAAGAAAGAAAGAAAGAGAGAAAGAAAGAGAGAAAGAAAGAAAGAAAGAATAATGCTGGAAGATTTTGATGAAGACAGAAAAGTCAGAGCACACTCCTGAACCTACCATTTATCAACGTGACTTCGGGAGAGTTACACTAACTCAATTTTCTCAAATTTTCTTACTGCAAAAGGAAATAATGTGAACACCATCCAGACTCATAGAAAAGTCCCTGTACGAGACTTGAAAAGAGCTTGGTACCTAGATTCATTAATTTGCATGTTAGCTGCTTATTATTTGGATAGATGTTTCTTAGGGCCAGAAACCATGGATTCATTCATTCAAGAAGAACTTTTCAACCATATGCACTGTATCAATCACTGGAGTTACAGAAATAGTTAATGCCCCAGGGGGTGGAGGAGAAAGTCTATTAAAGACAGACAGGTACAGTTTCCCTTATACTTATAAGGACTATATGAGGTATATTGACTATAGTAAGGAAGGTCTGAGTTATCATGATTAATTCTACCCAAGAGGCATATGACAGAATGATAAGGCCAAGATAAGATTTTAGAGGAAGTTCATATATTCTCTATGCTAAATTTATATATTGAATTACATATACACTCATTTAGTATCCATATACATGGAAAATATTTATGTACAAACATAAATTGTATATTATATACATATAATACATTATATACAAAGTGTTAAATTGTTTTTGAGAGATAAGGTTTTATAATTCCTACCACAATCACAGGCCAGTTTAATATTAATTCTGTTGTCGACCTTTTATGCTTTATGTCTTGCTTATGAGTTTCAATTTTTGAACTATTTTGGTTTTTTGCTTTTTTAATGAATCCATTGTGATAATCTCTAGTTTCAAATAGACAGCTTTGATTTACTTATAATTAATTTCTTTTCCAATTTTTAGATATATTTCTACAATTTTGTTTTGTGGCATTTTTCTCCATGCTAATAAATAACATGTGATATTATTTAAAGCAAGTATCCATAAGTAACATGTGCTCTAATTATGTTGTGAGTCTTAGTTTTATACATATTTGTTATGGGCTGAACTGTGCCTCCCAGTTCATATGCTAAAACCATAAGCTTCAGAATGTGACTGTCTTTGAAAATAAGACCATTAAAAACATAAAGTTAAAGCAAAGTTAGTCTGTGTATATTCTTATATGACAATGGAATTGGAGTACTAAAACATATGCCTGAACATGTGTGCACAGGGGAGATGCCATGGGAAACATCATATGTGGACAAGCAGACACAGTGAGAAGACAGTGTTCTGTAGGTTGAGGAGGTTCGCCAGGAGAATACACATTCATTGCCATCTTGACCTTACACTTATAGCTTTCAGACTGAGGAAATTGCTTTCTTGTTGCTTAAGTCAGCCAGTGTCTATGTTTGATTGTGACAGTCCTAGCAAATTAGTATAGTCTTAGACAATAACACTAGATGCATCCATCGTTAGTTAAAAGCTTTTCCATGTCAGCATTTTGGGAAGGTGCCTGTTTGTCTTGTGGCAAAGATAGCTATTTGTAAGTTAGTTGTTATTGGCCTCAGTGTTGTTCTATGGTAGGTAACCTGGTCTCTTTCCTTTAGAAGGTTTGATGATATTCTTTGTAGCCATGTTATTATACACATCTTCCTGATGTGTAATTCTATTTTTGTCACTTGGCCTTCCGACACTAATTATTTGTCTTTAACATTGAACTATCTCATGTGTCATGTTTGGAAACACTAATCTCCCACCCTTCTGGAGAAATGAGCCATTAAGAAGATAGCTTGGCTGGAGTCCTCACTGTGCAGCTGTTCTTTCTTCTTGAACTTTTTAGAAACCACAGTCCCAGGCAACAGGTGGTGTGACTTCAAGCTTCTATTCATGAAGAAATGCATTCTACCCCAGATCGTCAGACCCAACACATGAGAATCAAGCAAATCCCCCACTATGTTTGACTCTCAACAACCCATGTTGTAGGTTGGCTAAGTGAAGAGTCTGCTGGGCTGTATCTTTAGCCCCCTTAGTATTGTTGCGTGTTTTGTTCTATTTTTTGGATTATAAAAATGCTTATCTTTCTTTCATAAACCATTTTTTAAAAATATTTGAAATAATTTTGCACTGCCAGAAGTGTTCAGAGATACTTTATAAAATATGACTTTGACTTTTCAAAAGTAGTGCAGGAACTTAAATAAAAGTTCTATACTTTTAATCTAACTTTTCCTAATGTTATCATCTTATGTAACACAAATGTGTTTGCAATTTACTTCTTTTGTAGTTAATGTCTTATTACTGTGTATATGGCACTAAAGGGTAGTGGGAGAATAAACTTATCAACTCAACTTAACCAGAAATTCTAGGCAAGAATTCTTCTATTAGCCAACAATTTAATCATCCATCCATTTATGCAATAAATATTTATTAAGTCCTTAATTGTGTTCTACACCCCGAAATTGTAGCAGTGGTTAAAACAGTCAATTCTATTTCCCCTTGTATTGTTAAAATGTTAGTTTCAGGCTGGAGAGATAGGCCAGCAGTAAAAAACATTTGATGCTATTTCAGGGAAGACTAATTTGGTTACCAATGTCCACATGTCAGCTAATAACCTTCTGTAACTCCAGTTCCAGGAAATCCATGCCCTCTTCCAGCCTCTGTGGGTACTACATACATATACTCCACAGACATATAATCAGGCAAAACATAGACGTAAAATAAGAAAAATCTTTCAAACTTATATGTTAGTTTCAGAGACAAAGTCGAAAATAAAAAATGGTAAATTATACAGTGTTACATATAGAAATTGTGCTAAGTAGGAAATATATAAAAAAGCATAAGAAGTATTTGGGCCTGTGGAAGAAAAAGTAAGTATCAACAATGCTGACTAGGAAGAATTTATTGGGAAGAACTGAATGAAGCTCCAAAAGCTGCGGTCTTTGGCCATACAACTACTCAGGAGAGTAATTATCCTCAAAGTAACTTTGAGGACTGACCAACAGAACCACAGAACACCAAGATTTAGAATCACTAAGTACCAGGTTTCTACATATAGCCAGTAGACCAAATAACTAAGATTTGGTCTTAGGTCTTCTTGACATCAGAGCGTGTGGTTTTAACTGGACAGTCGAGTACAGATCTGCAAAGAGATGCACACATCAATTTCAAGGGTTGCATCCTGGCCCCTTCACTCATGTACCTCTGTGATCAGCCGTGGTATTCTCAGAAACCCTTCAATAAAACTCTAAGAAATCTATTTACAGAGCACTTGAGGTTTTTCAACAAGATGTTTTCATTGGACTAGCCGACCTTCATAAAATATGATTTTGGCCTTTCTAATAAGTGGTGCAGGAACTTGAGTGGTCATAGCTAGCCTATGAGGTGGTCAGAGCCTCTGTGTACCTGTCAGATTCCACATAGAGAAGTTAAGATTTCTTTCTAAGTATCTTTGTTCTTATTTTCCACATCAGAACACTCACAGCATCCATTTATAAGTCAATCCTTCTCATACTTTGAAAAAAACCATCAGTTTATATTGTAGGAAGCTTAAATTATAAGAGACTCTTAAAGGGCCATGGGCATAACTCGATCTTGGAAAGGAAGACAGAAATAAGAGCTCTTACTGAGAAGAGGTTTTATAAGGTCACTTTAGTGCTTCATTCTTTGGAAGAATTTAACCATAAATCTTGAGCCTGAGCTTCCGGACTTCAAGTTTTGAGTAATGAAGAGGCAAATGCAGAGTCAACACTTATTCTGGGTCATTTTCTGGGCCAAGAGATCAGATGCAGATCCCTCCTGGAGGATTTAATGGCATCTCCATGATAAATTTGGAGCTACCTTTGCAAATATTCAGTGGTTTTAACTGTCACTTTCCCCACTTACTCCTGGCTCCCCACTTACATCACCATCTTTTGTACATTATTCTAAACATTGTACACAGGATCTTATTTCCATGGACTTTTCCACCAGGATAGCTTTTCTCTAATCTCTGTATATTAAGATGAGACATATGTGGTTAAGACTATGCTCAGGGGATCCCCACTGTGTAAGTTTTCCTAAAACTTGTAGTTAATATTGATTTTTTAAGTTCCAGTGCTTTCATACATAAAGAGAATCAGAAGGAAGAAAAAAGGAAAAGAAATAAGACAAGAAGAAGAAAAAGAAAGAGGAAGAGGTGGAGAAGGAGGAAAATCTGACCAATGCTAGGAGAGATCTTATCATGGCTTGCCCATAGCAAGCTCAAATGGGTGACTTCTTTTTCTGTCTTTTAGACTAATCAATGAGCTTTTTTATTTTGTTTTGTTTTGTTTTGATTTGCATGGGGAGGATCTTAAACATGGTCCTCTACTGCCATAAATTTTGCAGCTAGTTTTTCATATTTGGGGAATGACAGGGGTCAGCACATCCAGAATGTGATGGACAAACCTTGCCCTAGGAAAATCACCTTTGTGAGCATGGTATCTCCCCTGAAAGGCAAGGATATGTTCAAAATGTCCTTGTCTAATCAAGACAATACATGAGTATTACTAGCAATGGGCATGCTGATGGTTAGTATGAGGTAAGGGAAACTAAACTCTGCTTGAATTCTAGAATTCATTGTCTTCTGAGCAGATGAGGTGACGTTGCAGTGATCTTGCCTTACACAGCTAGCTGGAACCTGACTCTCTTAATTTTTTTCCTTTCCAAATGCAACATTCAGACTAAGGTATAGGTCAGATATGGTTGAGCTTTTTAAAAGTCATTTGAAATTGGCTCTGCACTCTTTAGGCTGTATATCCTCAGTGTAGGAGCAGTAGGCATAAAGTCTGGCATCTATTCTTCCAGCCTCTGCCAAAGCTCTCATTTAGAAAAGAAGTCTGCTTTAGAAAGTGTGGTTTCCTCAATATGTTTTTAAAATGCACACAAAAGCTCCCTTATAGGCTTTTATAAGGATTAGAGATAATATGTGGGGAGATATATATATATATATATGTGTGTATGTCATCAGTACAAGAACTAACTTAGAATAAGTGCAAAATAAAAAACTATATAATGAAATAATTATAATGGCTAATTATCTTCACTTACCTCTATAGACAGTGTTAAGGGTTGATTTATTCTCAGTGGGCTTTCCTTGGTCTTTGTGTCTAAACCATGTGAACTGCCCAGGCAACACGTCATTGAAGCTCCTTGAGCCTCTTATGGGATCTGACCTCTGATGACTTTCATCAATATAATAATATACTATTATTATATAATACCTTCCCCTTCCAATAAAATGAGGGCACCCAGGGTTTGGTGGTATCCCTTAATCACATCTGAAGAGAATGTCCTCTAGAATAATAAGCCTAGGTGTAGGTTCTTAAAGAAAGCACAATAGTGCCATTTGTGTATTAATGTTTTGTTTTCAGCATTATCATAGATTTACAAAGAGTTTTAAATGACAACAAGTAATGCTTGTGTCTTAGTTATTTTTCTATCACTGTGATAAGATATCATGACCAAGGCAACTAACAGAAGAGTTTATTTTGGTCTTATGGTCCAGAGTGTCAGAGTCCATGTTCATCATAGACAGAGCATGGCAGCAGGCATTGTACTGGAGCAGAGCTGAGAGTGTACACTTGGATCCACACACTCTGTGAAATCCTTTTGAAACTTCAACACCCATTTCCAGTGATGCACCTCTCTCAATAAGGCCACACCTAATTCTTCCAAAATAGTTTCGCCAACCAAGGACAAAGTAATCAAATCAACATATTTCACTCCCTGGCTCTCATAGGCTCTATGGCCCTATCATAATGCAAAATGAACTTAGCTCAACTTCAAAAGTTCCCATATTCTTTCAGTCTCAACACTGTTTCAAAGTCCAGTCCTATGAGATTCAAGGCAATCTCTTAATTGAAATGCAATCCAAACTTCACGTCCACAACTTCACACAACAGCCTCTCAGGGCTTCTTATCCTCTCAGGACCTTCATGCAGGACCTGCCTTGCCACATATTGGTGGACCTCTAAATCTAAAGCCACATGGATGATGCTGCCAATTTTGGTTGCGCACTGGGGATAGAACCTTGCCCTTTCAAATAACATTTATGCTACCAATGACATATCTCCACCAACAAAGCTATATCTCCCAATCCTTCCTAAACAATTCCACAAACTCGGGACCAATTATTCAAACATATGCACCTATTGGGAGCCATTCTCATTCAAATCAGTTATCCCATAAACATGCCTTTTCCTGGTCCAGCATTTCAGGTTCCATTTAATGGCCGTGTCTCCTTCACTTCTTTTGATAGGGAGCAACTTCTGCATCCTTCTTACTTTATATTTGATTTACGAGCTCCATACTTTTGAGGAGAATCTGCCAAATACTTTGTACTACATTCATCAGCTAGTTTGATGTTTCCTCACAATTACTTCCTGGCCATTCATTTGTTGCAGGCCTGCCACAGAATTGATGCTGGGTACTTTCCAATTCATGGTATCAAGAGGCGCATGAAACCCACTTGTTTGACTACTGGTAATGTTAGCTCTGATTTCTTAGTCTTTGACATAACCTAATACTTACACTACTCAGTGGCTAACACTATTCTAGACATGGCCTCTGGAACACTTTCAAGTTGGCTCCTGAATCGTTTAAAAGTATTTTTATATTATTTGCTTATATTTTATTCTGAATGTTGTTATAAGAAAATGCATCTCCTCTGACCCATCACAGCAACTCTGTTGATGACCTTACTTCCCTCCCCATGACAGTAGCTTAGCTGTGAGTATATGCAGGTATTTCCCAGATGATGTTTGCATGTGCATTGGATTTCTCAAGAACACTCTGTCATCCCTCCAGCATTACCAATCTCCATTGACAGCCATTTTGAAATATTTTGAAGGGACACAACAGAACAATTCATTATGGCTACTTGTGCTCTAAAGCACACTTTCTACATTGTTCTTGTGCTGGATTCTGTTTAATTAACTTTTGATTTTGCATTGCAGGACCCTGATATACATTAGAAGGTCACTGCCCAGACATTCATCTTTTAAAGTAACTAGACTGGTTATTTTTTCCAAAGTTCCATCAGGTTAAAACAGTTAGCAATTTTTCTCCTTGTAGTGTCCCTTCAGCCCGGACCAGACGGATAATAGATCAGCATAGGTTCAGCTGCCTTACAGCATTAGTCATCAATTAGGTTTAAACCAGCACTGTAATATATCATCTATCTTGCCTGCCACAGCTCTTCTGAACATTTAATTTTTTAAGGCCTCTTAGGGTTTTTTTTTCTTCCCCTTCTTTTCTGAACTGGCCTCTTGCCTTTCTCCTTTGTCTCCGGCACAGACATCTCCTTAAGGAACAATAAAAATTAGATTTGTTTGACCTCCTCTCAGGGTTCATTTCAGAGAGATGGATTTTAATAGCTTTGACTGGTTGGGCAGACAGCTTTTATGCAATATCCCAGACATTTACTCACTGTCTTTGCTGAGCCTGAAGCAGGTGTGTTAGAAGGAGGTGTGCCTGTGTGCCACCGTAGAGCTCCTTACTATTCCTTTCACATGACACAGTACTCAGAGAAATTGCTTGCCCACACATGGTGGGCATCTCATTAGGAGGAACAGTCATTGGCTAGCCTCTCCCCATCTAATAATAGCTTGCTTTAATTTCGTCCATCCTACATTTATTACATTGTTAATTGAAAGGGATATCTTTGCTCAATGAGGTCTTTCTAAGATGGCCTGGGTTGAAATGGGGTCTCTGCTTTTACGCTGCCTTCTTCATGAATATTCTGCTTCAGGCTCAGGATGTTTTCTCATTTCAAGATAGACTGAGGTCATAGTGAGAGCATGTGTTTGTAGCCACATACTCAGGATGTGAATTCTGATGCAGCCATTTATGAGGTGAGCCACTGTCTGGATTTCAGCTGGTGACCCTACCTTTCCGATGCCTGCCTCATTAGAATAATAATTCTTGTCTCACATTATAGTTGTCTTTTTTTAAACAAAGCCATAGGTTGCTGTGGCATGCCTGACACAAATCTAGATTTTTTTTTGAAAGGTAGAGATGACAGTCTTCATGCCACAGTTATCTATTGAATATCTACTGAGTAACAGGCAAACTTCTAAGCAGGAAATGCAGCAATGAAGAAAACAAACAAAACATCTGGCCCTTAGAGGTTCAACTTTGATGGGGGGCAGTAACAGAAAATGTGATCAAGGCACTGATCTGCTAGATAGTAGTGAGCACTAAGGAGAAAAGGACAGTGCTCTGAGTTGACGTCATTAAATAAGAAAGAAAATATTTCTTTATAGCATCTGGCATAAAACCAATTACCCATTCATAATTTTCATTCATGTAAATCAATCATTTGTTATTTTTTACATACTTTTTAAAGTTAAAAATCATATCATTCCCCTTCCCATTTCTTTCTCTAATCCTTCCCATGTACCCCATTTCCTTCTTCCTTTTGAAATCATAGCCCCACACACACGTGTGTGTGTGTATGCGTATGTGTATTCTTTTTTTTTCCACTTTTTTTTAATTTCTTTTTTTTTTGAACATGAAATGCTTTTTTATAGCATGTTTTACAAGGGGAGGGGGTAAGAGGGTCCAGGTGGTGGAAAAGTACAAAATCTTCTTGGCCTGTGCCTTGAAACATGTCATGGTCTATATGGTACACTGCCTTGAATTATGATCTACCTGCAGTTCTTCAGAAGATATGGTACACTGCTTGAGTTATGGTCTCCCTGCTATTCTTAAGAAGACATGGTACTCTGCTTTGAGTCTATCTGCAGTTGCTAAGCAGGATCTTGCAGTTGCCAAGCTTCAGAGGACATTGTGCAGGTGGGGAAAGGTAGGGGGTAAGGGTAAGGGCGAGGGTCCTGGCTTCTGGCATCTCCCCCTTCTCTGTTTAGTTAGAGAAGGCGTCTTATGTTCAATCCCAACTATGTGAGTTTTGAATTTGGATGTCTAATTATGGGGGGTCTTAGACAAGTTCACAACCCCAAAACACTGATGTGAGACGAGTCACATCGATGGTCGAAGGCTTTAGGCTGTCGACGATGGGCAATGTCAAGGGACTCTGATGTGGGTGAAAGGAGGGTGAGAGCCCTGTCTTAGGCCATGTAGGCTGCACCCACTCCCAGCACCACGCACTCCTTTTCGGCTGCATTGGGTGGGCCCCTGGGAAGTGGACCTACAATAATCCCGTCATTGGGCTAACTCACAGCCATCCTAGTCTCTTGTAAATGTTCAAGTTACCAACCATTTGTCAGTTTGGGGTGTAATATTGTCATAAAGGAAGGCTCCCCAATGTTAGCGGCCATATCAAGGGTGGCCTTGGTTTAGGAAAAAGCCAATTTTTGTTGTGGTGATCAAGAGGCCAAGCTCTCTAGCGAGAGAAATGAGGGCAAAGCCAGGCATACCAGGAACCCTTCTGGAGGGCGTGGAAGTCTAGGGGTCGACCGTAGGGGAAGGCAGGGGAGCTGACAGCTGTGTCAGTCTCCTGCGG